GGGGGGGGGCGGGGTTCAGTTTGAGCTCTGTCAGAACAAAGGAGCTTCAGCATCCCTTCAAGGACGAACATTGCAGGCTCTTGGGTTCAAATACCTACTTGTTTGGAAGCCTCCGGGCTGGATGACAGAGACTTTAATTCCCCATTTGGAAAGTTCTCGTCTCATGACTGCCGAAAACATGGTCAGAGCCGCCTTGGATGACCCATAAGCTGCCAGCTTTTCCATTGGGACCCCTGCTATAGGAATAATGGGAGAAAAAAAATATCAAGTCAGATGTTTTCATCTGTTCATCTCCTGAGTATTTAAACAGCGCTGACTGCATGCCAGGAACTGGTAGCAGTGGTGACTAAGGCAGAGAAGGGACCTCTGTGCCCAGGTGAGCATGTTTTCTTCGTCACAAGCATGGTCTGGCTTCCTTTGCTTCTGCCTTCCATGGCTGCTCCATCACAGTTAGTCCAATGACAAGCTGAGTGTAAGGCTCAATCTCTCCCAGCATCCAAGCTAAATGTGAGTGAGGCAGGATAAAGAGCATCTGCCCCTGTTTAGGCTGAACTGCATTCTAATGTTCTGGGTAGACATATCTTTTTGTGTAGGGGTCGCTGTTCAACCCGTTACAGTACATGTAGTTAAACAAATTGGGTTTAATACTTGTTGCAACAAGGAGTAACACACACCATGGGGAACTCTGAGGCATCTCTGGAAGAGGGTGTAAGAAAGGACTTACTCTAGGAGGGCTGGGTAGGGCTGGGGCAGACGCTCTTTATTCCACCTACATCACACTCATCTTAGAACCTTGGGGAAATTGAGCCATACACTGGGTCCATCATTGGCCCAGCAGGGAAGGAGGAGCTATGGAAGTCAGAAGCAATAGAAGCCAGAAAAGTAGAATGACCTTATTTAGAATACAACCTTTACAGTTGTAATTAAGGTACAGACCTCAAGATGAGACCATCCTAGATTAGGATGGGCCCTGAATCCAATCATGAGTGTCCTTGTAAGAAACAGAAAAGGAGAAGACACACACAGAAATAGGAGAGTAGACCATGTGAAGATGGAGGCAGAGATTGAAGCGATGCTCCCACAAGCCAAGGAACACCTGGAGCCACCAGAACCTGGAAGAGTCAAGGAGGAACTCTCCCTTAGAGCCTTCAGAGGGAGGTGGCCCTGCCAACACCTTGGTTTCAGACTTCTGGCCTACAGAACTGTGACAGAATAAATTCCTGTTGTTTTAAGCCCTCGTAATTTGTTACAATGACCCTAGGAAATGAAGACGGATGTGTTCCTGGTGTTCTTTAACTGGAAGACACTGAGATTGTGAAGGGGTGAAGATAGTGAGGGTGCACAGCACCCAGGGGACCTCATGGGGAACCCAGGATGACTGGACCCATGACATTAGGGCTCCCAGCTTTGGCAAAGATTTCCCTGGTCAAAGAAGCATCCACTAGGTGAATGGATAAACGAACGGTGATACAGCCATACGATGAAATGCAACTCAACCATTCACAGGAATGAACTTGATGCGTGCAACGGCATGAAAGAGTATCAAAATAACTATGGTGAATGAAAGAGCCAGACGAAAAAGAGTATGTGCTGTATGATGGCATTTATTTAAAATTCTAGAAAACAAACAAATCTATAGTGAAAGAAACAGATCCGCGGTTACATGCTGTGGGGGCAGGGGAGGGAATAGAAAGGGGAATAGGAAGTTTTGGGGGATAATAGCCATGTTCACTATCTTGATTGTCGTGCTGGTTTCCTGGGTACATACATATGTCCAAATTTATTGAATTGTGTACTTTAAATATAAGCAGTCTTTTGTATGTCAATTATATATCAATTTTTTTAATTAAAAAAAATAAGAAGCTACCACCTGGCTTCAAGAGACCACAGACATTTCAGCAAATGCCAGAGAAGATTTCATGGGTATTTTGCTTTGTCTAAAACCCCCAGGACATTTTCACAACTATCTAGGGCTGGGAAGAGGATCTCCAGTGCGCCCTGGTCTTACCTTTCCATGCATCCCAGTTCCACCAGCTTTCCCAGCCTTCAGTGATTCTCACCAAACCAAACATGGGTCTAGTTTTGCACATGTGCTTGTCTTTGTTCTCTTGACTTCAGATTTTTCCAAATGATTCCTTTTGCCTGCCAAAATCTCTTTTATTCTTCTAGTTGGGCATGCTTCATCCATGGAAGGACATCTTTCTACCCCTAAGTTCTCTTGCCTGTGTCTTACCTCTATCCAAAGGTTAAAGTTTTCAGCATAAGCATTTGAGACCACAAAATATGCCTCATTCCCACATCTAACACTTATTAAGGACTTTATTTATTAAGGGATGCTTATGCCAAAACTTTACAGTCCGTAGTGGGTCAGACAAACCCTTGTTTCTAAACAAGCTTTCAGCAACCTCTTCCTGAACCCCCCGTAAAACATTGAGCTCATTTCCCACACAGGGAAAATATGACTGCAATGACCAGATCTGATTTCTTAAAGGGCAGTCTGAGTAGAGACATTGGCCATTTCCAGCCACATAATGAAACCATGCTTTGAATTCAACTATCTAACCACAATCTGAAAGCCATACAATGCAGTTAAAAAGAAAATGAGATGATAAAATGTATGGAACCAAATACATACACAAGTACAAGTAAAACTGGAAATTTGAACAAAACTGGTAGATTATAACATTAGCTGTAGGCTAGTTATAATATTGTACTCTGGTTTCACAAAATCTTATCATTGGAGGAAACTGGGTAAAAGGTACACAAGATCTCTCTTATTCTTCCTTACATCTTTAGGTAAATCAGCAATGATCTCAGTAAAAATTTCAATTAAAAAAAGAGCATAGTATCTGCACCATCCATGTTCATTACAGCACTATTTATAGGCACCAAGACCCAGAAACAACCTAAGTGACAATTGACCAATGAATGGATAAAGAAATGTGGTATATTTTTTATACAATGGAATATTATTCATTCATAAAAAAGAAGGAAGTCCTGCTTGCTACTTGTGACAACACAGATGGCCCTTGAGTGCCATGAGGACATTAGGCTAAGTGAAATAAGTCGGACAGAGAAAGACAAATACTGTATGACCTCACTTATATTTGGAATCTAAAATAACCAAACTCATAGATACAAAGAACAGATTGGTCGTTACCAGAGGAGGGAGTTGGGGGGCTGGCAAAATGGGTGGTGGTCAAAAGGGACAAATTTCCAGCTATAACATAAATAAGTTCAGGGGATGTAATATATAGCATAGTGACTATAGTTAACAACATTGTATTGCATATTTGAAAATTTGAAAATTGCTAAGAGAGTAAATCTTATAAGTTCTTATCACACACAAAAAATTGTAACTGTAGAGATGATAGATGTTGACTAACCTATTGTAGTATCATTTCACAATATAGTCACATATCAAATCATTATGTTGTATACCTTAAACTAATACAATGTTATATGTTAATTATATCTCAGTAAAACGGGATAGGGGGAAAGAGCATAGAGATACCTAGACTAGTTAATGGCAGTTATCATCATTATTCTTACATCATTATTCAAGCTTTTGTCTGGCTCACATAATTCCCATTATGGGAAATATTCACCCTTACCACCTGTCTTGGTAGGAAGGCCGTCAGTCAATGGTTTTGTCCTTCTCATTAAGAGAGGTAGACTGGCCAGTCATAATACCCACCCCACCCCCAGAGGTGGAGATTGGGTTGGGGTTGGGCATGTGACCTACACTGAGCCAGAGTCCTGATACAGATGGTGGAAGGGAGACAGCTTTATTATTTATTCCTGGCTACTTAAGTGTGATAACGGTGAAATATGGGAACTCCCAGGGGCCATTTTGCTACCACATAGAAGAAGGTAAGCAAAGGAAAGCAGAGGAGCGAAAAGGGGAGAGTGGTGTTGGAGATGGGTGTTAAGGAGGGAAGTTGGAGTGGCGGCGGGGGAGAGTGAAGATGATCCCATCTTAAAACTTGGTTCCAGTCAGTTGGTGAGTTAACAAATTCTTTTTCCCCTTTTTGTTTAAACTAGTTTGAAGTTCAGCCCTGTCACTTAAAAGGAAGGCTTCCAAGGCTCAACTGACGAAATTTAAATACAGCACCTGGCATCAAATAGCCAACTCTGGTTCCTGTCTTGCCACAGATGACCAGCTGATTCTTATTTAAGTGACTTTGAGTTTCATGAAATCCAACACCTTTCCTTTACTGATGAGAAAGACAAAGAAGTTAAAGCAACTTGTTCAAAGTCACAACCCTGTTTGTGGGCTGGGCCTGTTCTCACATCCCCGTGGGTTCTGTAGATGGGGTAAGCTTGGCCAGCTCGAAGGCAGGTTAGCAGACAGTAGCAGTGAAGAGCTGGATTTTGGAGCCAACACAGCCTCTGCTCAAATCCCAGCTCTGCCGTTGATTAGGAAAATCAATTAAAAGTAGGAAAGTCATTTTTTGTTATACGCCTCTGTCTTTTAACCTGTAGATTAAGAATAATGATAGTACGTGCATCACAGAGTTGTTGTGAAATTTAAATCAATTAGTATATTAAAATAGTGCCTGGCACAAAGAAAGCTCCATATGAGTGCTCCCTATTAGCTCCTTTAGTGCTACTCAAAGTTTTTGCAATAATATCTCAATAGCCCAAAAGTCTCCCTATGTTCAGTGTTTCTTAGAATAGTAAGTACAATTGCTTCAGGATCTCCCACAATACTTATTACGTGGATTATAGGACCGACCCTAGACCTACTGAATCAGAATCTGTATTTGAAAAAAATCCAAGTGTTTCTTTTGAATACTAAATCCTAAACTGTTACATTAGGTTTTGGTCACATATTTCTGCATCTGTGCTTTCGTGGTGATGTACTGCCTTATGGATGATATGACAGGTGGTGAGAATTTATCGTTTCCCACATTACCAATCTAAATAGAAAACATGCTTTGGACCAACCATTTAAGACACATTTGCCTTTTGTATTATATTGAACCCTGTGAAATTGCCAGTATTAGACAATTTTTGACCTACAAAATAGCAGTTCTGCAGGGTTCAACATCATAGATCCAACCTTACTATTAATATTTTATATTAGTATCTAAGATCCCTGATGAGATGAAAAAAGTGGAGGTGTCCCAGGCTGGCTGACCAAGAGCCACAGGGTCTCAGGTCTTCTGACCTTACGCACCCCTTCACAGCCTGTCCAGTTAGATTCTCGAATTTTTATGTTTGTTCCATTCAG